TAAACGGCAGGTTTGCAAAGAGTACAGATTTTCTGAGTAGTTTATAGTTCGCCCACCAGAGGGACATCTGATGTAAGTGAGCTTGAGAGGACTGAAGCAGTGATTGATCAGAGTGGAACAGTGATGTTAACAAGAGCAGTAATGATGTGTGATGTGACGGTGGAGCTATGACAGTGACAGGTGCAATCAATCATTCATGCAGAAGTAGTTACAGCTAGGAAGGCCTGCCCATTGTTGCTTGCATCAGCAGAGGTTCATGTGCTACCGAGGTTAAGCATATCTTCCGAGGTCACACTAGAATTCTACAGGGCGGCTCTTCTACTTTTGGTAAGCATACTATCCTACCTGGTGAATTCGCAGGCCTTTTCCCTAACTGTACAATTTTCTCCAGTGCATGTTTTGGCCCCAGTAACACAGTTAAGGACTGCCGAAAACCTTCAAGCTGAGCGCCTGTTCTCACTCAAAGCTAGAGATCAGAACAAGATGGTTGGAAACTTATCCCTATCATTCGCTTGGCTCTACGACGGGCAGAGCTTCAGCTGTTGGGCCACGACCAGCTCGCGCACCAGTGTACGCCTACTTGCCTCTTTATCAGGCAATAAGCTTTACTGCATATGTCCTGCGGCTCCGACGAGTCCCAGGTTTATTCATGATTCGAGGAGGGTCGTCTCGATCACAGTACGAACACGTGGATTTAGATTGTTTGTGGAGCATCTGCAAAGGCCTGTCAGCGACTCACAGCGTCTAGAAGCATTCCACAGGCATTATTGCATGAAGTGTTTGCTTGTAGCTCGCCCGTACGTCAGCAGACTCATGGACCTTTCAGTCCTTGCTATGACGCTCATACAGCATCACCTGTATTCAGTTTCAATACTTTATGCCTACTGAAATGACACATTACCCGTAGAATGGAGAATCAAGACTATGCTTGCATAAGCCTCTGCAAACAGATACAAAATAAGGCTTTTATCATTCATTTTCCTTATTATCCGGATCAGCACATGCGACCATGTGGTTTTTCAAGCATACAGACTGCGAGCCGCTGTAATTTAGATAGATATATCTTTCGTGCACATTCCATGTAGGACACACCGATTACAATATTGATTGGGAGAACACCACTTAAGAAGATGCAATGTCGCTTGCTATTTTGCATACTTTACAGTGGTACCGCAACGCTGTGGATCTATGAATCGAGCCGCAAGAGGGCCATACGCTTGTTGGTTTGCTCTAACGTGTAAGCACATTGCTGAGCGCAAGTGATTGGCTCCTCCACTGGTGTGATGTACGTGTGTGCCATTGTCACCCTACGAATTTAGTTACCTTGTCGATTTCCAGGTCTTATTGAGGCTTGAGAGCTTGACCAATTGTGCGTTCATGACACTCAGGAGCAAATGAATATGATTGCTTGCACCAAACCTGATGTTCCAGCACGTTGGAGGTGCGCTTAGCGTTGCTGGTGAGCGTCCAGCACCCTGCCAGCATCAACCATTTGTTGACGACATAGTATTTTGCGTGGCACTTTGCTGACAAATGGCGGAGCAAGTCAGCGCCACCCCCACTGACAAAAAAGGCGCCAAATGGGGATCTCACCATGCACGGGTCCGATTAGTATGCAATCAGCTTCAAGGAAAAAGGCATTGTAGCAGTATTATCGGAGAGCATCAGACCCTACGGTTATAATGCATCGCGCTGGTATTTTTGAAGGTAAGCATGATTGGGAAAGGCTAAGCATACGCCGCTGAAGGCTTTGTGGCCTTCCAAAAAACCGCAGATATTCCGTGCTGATGGCGCGTATAGCGGCTGCATCTGCAACCGTGCTGCTTGATTATACAGGCATCATATTTTATGCAAATGATGCATACATCTATTTGCCTGTGGAAAAAGGAATTAAAAGTGCACTGGACGACCTTGCTTGTTTCACAGTATCTGCGGACTAAATGTGTGAAATTGTGAAGCAGGTGGTGCTTGGATGCAGAGCCCGTTGTGCGCAGATGTGCGTACACCAGCAAGTCTGCTTATCAGTAGTGCTTTGCAAACCTCAAGGCAAGCGCGCAAAATGTATATACATTCTTGTGCGCATCATATTTATTTACTTAGTAGACAAGCTTTTGCTAGGACCACGCCTTCTGTGCTCTCTAATTTTGCGTCTCTGATGTAATAAGGAGAAATTATCAGTATTGTAAAAATCTCATGCTGCTTGCTCTGAAAGAGCACGTTTTCTGTGTATTCATAAAAGGGGCCGATGGATCGTCACAGGGACAGCAGGAAATGCATTCGCCGCCTTGAGTTGGAACTGGCAACAGTTGATTTCACGGCGAGTCAAGGAGCCCATCCTTTATATTTGCGTATTCGCGACCTTCACATTTGAAAGTGCTGTGGGCACAGTGAGTGCGTTCACATGTTGCCTTGGCGTGGTGCATCGTCCCTGAGTCCTGGTGGTTCGATTTAAATTTGTGATTTTCATACTCACGTAACTGTGTTCTGAAAATTTTCGTATACCAGTAACACCCTGCAGGCCTTGTTTCGTTGTACTGCAATAGATCATATTATACAGTGCTTAACTGCACGACCAATCCGCTTTAGAACCCCACAGAACAATCGAGTGGTTCCTGATCAAAGTACCAGCAGTGCGCCTATCTGAAACTGCAAACAGTGGTCCATGGCTGGCTCAGTGGGTTCCAAAAGCGTAGATTAACAAGCGATTGCCTTTACTGTACATACATGACGGCCCCTAAAGGCTTCTGCTCATGTAGAAATGCCTGATTGAAATGAGCGTATCATGAGCAACAAATGCACCTACTAACATCCGTAGGAGCGTAAGAGGTATGTACAATGTGGTCAACAATACAGGGATGGGAAGCGCAAGCAAACGGAGAATTTTCATGACGAGGATATTAAGCAGCCTTGCCGAAACTTATGGCTCTTGCCATGCACTGTAGCCCTCTTTAGTAAAGCATTAACGTCACGTGATTAAGGGCAATAAGTAGATGTTTTCATTTTCAAAAACACAGCAAAAAAATAAATAACCACTAAAGAAATTCCCTGTAGTGCTCGGTGACTGTGCTGTGGCAGCATTCAGAACTGAGTCTCTTCTAGTCCGCTTCCCAGTTTCGTCGCAAAATTCTCATATCTAACGCATCGATTGATGAAAGTTGACAAGTTAGTCAGCGGCAGAAGCGGGTGCTTGCCTTGGCAATTTCTACCTAGATCTGAGGGGATATATGTGAAGTGCTGGTTGTTGGTATTGTAGAGCATTAAGCTTTGGTTTTCAGTTCCAAAGTCTCACTTTTTTGACAAGCGATTTAGCACTGCTATTGCGGTAATGCAGTGCAGTTCACTCTTTGATACTCTGTCGTGACCGGACGCTTGAAGAGAGATGCCTCCCGCCTTCGATTTTCGATGCCGTCGTCAAGACGTCTTGCCGTGTTTGGCAGGTGGTGAGTTGAACTCGACAATACGTATCAACACCCTGTTATGAGCGTTGCTTTTTGGCTTAATGGGCCTAGACTGCACGAGTTTGACTGCGTTTTTGTACAGCGCACGCTGTCCCATATAATATCTCTGCTTCACCCTCTGCCTCTGGCGCTTTCGAGTCTTGATCACAGTGGCCGCAAGAGGGGTCAGAGCTTTTGTATTGTCCATTACCGCACCGCTAGAAGAGTAAGCACGGGATTTACAAAACCGTATAGGGATGATGTCAAATTGTTTAAATAAGCTAACAAAATTTTCTTTCGTAAGGTCCATACCGCTGGAAAACCGGTGTCCACTATTAACTGATTTTATTGCATGCTTTTAGTAGGATCAATTGAACGTCATTGCCCACTCACAGGTGGTGAAAGTCATTGCCCACTCACAGGTGGAAATAGCGGGTCTACAGAGGCAATATGTTGAGATGAGAGCAAATGCAATGAGTCCGTTCCCTTGTCAGTCTCTCGTACACGAAGACGGAAGTGGTATGCAGGATTTCTTGAACATGAAAGCGACATAGCTTCTAGAGGGAGAAACCAAAGTTACGTAGTGAGGCGCTGAAAGCACATAAAGCTTCTTGCATTGCACTATTGGCTAGTCCTGGGAATGCCGGGGCAAATTTGGAGGATTGAAAAGTTCCCCTAAGAAAACGCGCCTTGAGGCACTTTCGTAAGAATAGACGGGGTGAGGCTTCAACTGGCAAAAAAACAAGGTAGATCATGATAAATACTTTGTGGGGATTTTACAGCTTGTTTACTAGGGCATTGTGTCACAGTCCGAAGATGCCCTTGGCGAATACTTAGCCAACCTGCTAGACGAAACACAAAATGAACGACACAGAGCGATCCTTGATTGACAGGACGCTGAAACTACGTTTTGAAGCTCAAAGACCCTTGGGACCATTTATGCACAGAGTGCCGCAAATACTGCCATTACATAGGAGGTGTGCAACACCAGAGTCAACAGGGGAACCCGTAAAGACGAGCGAGTACCCAACGACACTACACTCAATGTTTTTAGCGGGATAGGCGGGCAAGCCTCGACAGAAGAAGATCAAAGAGAGCGGGCCGATGAGGCCGCTTTTACGCAATGATGCAGGACAGCTGGAAAAGACTGATCGCTGCGGATTCGCGCTTAGTGGATGTTCGGGAAGTTGTGCCGCCATCATAGAGGCAAGGACTATGATGGCGCCGAATGTTCGAAGGCACTTGGGCGTGAGCCATCAACGGATGAGCCACTCATCAAGGCACCATTTAGTGCAAACGAAAAACAAAAGCCTTCAAATTGTCGAGCACTGAAGTAATGGGTGACACAAGTACGAGGAACAACCATGCTGCTCATGGATTAATATGTTCCGTCACCAACGGACCCAACACCACTCTAGTCTTGCCAGATTGAAGGCAACGTCTCTGTTCTCAGAAGATGGACCGAGAAGGAACCAGGGAGACCAAAGCAGAAATGCCACTGGGATGTCAAAATAAATTGTGTTTATTGGAGTATGATGAGCCGAAGGTTGGCCATAGAGGACTATGGGCGATGGACGCATAGATGGAAATACGTCAGAGACCAAATCAGGCCATCGTGATAGCGGGGATCGCTACACAGTATTCGAGGGCGAGGAAGAGCAGACGGTGGCCTGGGAACGTCATTGACGCTTGTGAGCTACTGTGTGTTACTGGGCGCACAGCAGAGTTGTTTCTCGGCATAGTGGAGCACAAGCATGAAGCGCTGTAATACAAGCGAGTATCCAGATGCCTGATTAGCCCGCCTCTGGTGCAGCGTCTGGTCTTGGATGTCGGCTTCCCACGTCACCAGGGTGACTGTAACCCGGCTAGCAGGCAAAGGTCGCAAATAAACCTCATTGTTACGCGGCCATCTACGTGGTGAGGCATATTAAGGCGAATACCTGGTAGGTCCTCTTCCGTGTGACATTATTGTGAGGCTAGGCTGGCTTAGCAGATATCGGGTATCATGGTATTTTCGGTCGGATACGCTGCGTAGAGATATGGACACCCACTGCTCTGACCTGCCAATACTGCCGCGAGAGGGGTTCGCTGGAGGTGCGTGACCTCACCTCCAGGGCTTACTCAGCAACTACAGCAAACCAGGCATACGATGCCTTTGCCCAAAGAGCTACTCTCATGTCGATGGCGGAGGCAGTAGTTTTACCGTGACCACCTGCTAAGCGCTACAAGTCATACCGCAAGCCGAAGTGCGCGTTCCTATCACAAGCCGCACTGCAGCAGACGACCATCAGCACTGCAAAGCTCTAGTTGGCATTGCAGAGCCTGGATCCTCTTCTTACGATACCTGTTCTTGTGATACACACGGCGGATTCGCTTCCTAAAGCCCTACAGGAGTTTTTGTTGTGTATGTTCGTTAAGCATTAGCGTACTCTTGGTCCGACAGTCGTAACTTACGTACCCCCGCACTATACTGGCGGAGGGCGAGGCCAACAAAGCGTCTGTGTGACCTAGTGCACTGTTGAAATACTTTTATCTGGATGTTCGAGATTAGTTAGGTTAAGCTTACAAACCGCCGCCGAGGGGCTGTTACTCCGTCGAGCCAAAGGACGTCATTTTTCCAGTTGCCGTGCAAGGGGGCTGCCTCCCAAGCGTCCTGTTGATCACCAAGTATAATATGTACCGGCGAGACTACGAATTTCCCTAGTGATAAACCCGGACTCCACAGTGCGATTGCTACACGCTACCCTCGAAGTACTGGGCACCGCCCGAAACTTTTCAACGCTTTCCTTAGGAGCCGGTCTTTGCCAGATAAGGTTTGCACCCAAAGCGGACAGGTAGCAGACTGTTTTCTGTGGAGTAATGGGTCTCTTTGAATTTAAGCTGATGTCGTTCGGTATCCAAGATGCGCGCGCCTTATCAAAGACCAATATCAATGCTTTTCTCCAAATTGTGTTGGCCCAAGGAACAGTTGGCTATTTTGACGACATTCGTATATAGAGTCTGGACCTGGTCTCTCAGGTGCAGTTGTTATGGCTATTGCTGAGCACCTAATAATATCTCTGCACTACGAGTTCAGAACTTACAAGGTACCACGGCAGGAGTTCGAGTACTTTGGCTACTCCATCGGCGGGCCGGGAGTTAATGGTTCAGCTGAAGACAAGATGCAATTCCAATCTGTTCAGAGCTACCTCCGCACGAGACGCAGGTGCAACAGTCCTTCGCGACTGCCAAGCATGGCGCATATTCGTGGTGCCCGAGTTCGCCGACGTGGCATGGCCGCTCGAAACACATGACACTACCTGGACTCCACCGCATACTTTCGCGGTGAAGCAAATCGAAACGCGGCTAGTCGAATCTACGGTTTGCCCATTTTCCCGACTCCACCAGACCTAAAGACCTTTATGCTGCTGCATCAGGCTATGCCTGAGGCTCAGTATTGGAACGCGACAACAACCGAGCGCTATCTGAGCCAGATCACGAACTTTTTACTGCAGAAGTACTCCATATCCACCCAAGAGGCTCACACGTCGGTTAATGCTTTGAATACGTGGGGATACGTACTCCTCTGTGCAACGGCTTACCCCACACAACTCACCAGGAGTTGACCTACTTCTAGCAGTCAACCACCTCTGATCCACAGCGAAAACACATGGGCCATTGGCTTGATTTTCTGAACGAATTTTAGAATCTCATGATCAACTATCTGAAAGGCACGCGCTACTAGACTGTGGACGTTCTCGCTGGCCATCCGCAATTTGAGTGGTGGAGATGCCGTGCACCTGCTCGTCACTGCTTGCATCACTTTCTATGGGTGGATGACCGCCATTACTGCAGCCCCTGATGCACCAGAACAGCAGCACGGGAATCAGGGCGGTCAGGCAGCTATTGTGGGGATGCCAGCTTACGCAGGGGGTCAAGCGGTCCCCTATAAAGCTCCCCCATCCCAATCGTCCCCTGAGCCAGTGTCACGAAGCGAGGCACCAGAGCGGGAGCCCAATGTGCCCTCCTGCACCGGAGTGTTCAACGTCAGGGTCGTGATCGCTCAACATCGGTTAAAGTCAGACCTTGAGCCGCGAAACCTTCCTTCCTTTGTCCCCTGATGATGGCCCCAGACGAGCTCAAGCTTAAGCTCCTTAATCCAAGTGGCCCGACCTCATCGAACCTTCCGAAGTAGTGGAGTGGCACGAAGGCGAAGGGGGTCATTCTTACTTCAAAGCCAGCAAAAAAAGCGCTTTTTCTCATCACTCATTCTCTGCGCATTTGCATACTTGACATGGGGCGCATTCGTGTCCCTGCGCTACCTAGGTTTTATATGTTGTTCGGAGCCATGACCACGTCATTACCTGCCAACGCCTTTCTTGCAAACGATGTAGTCACGATAAGCTACATTTTATCACAGATCTTCCTTTCGCAATGCGCGGTACTATGCGAACTCATTTTAATGCCTATGGAGTGTGCCATGGCGAGCCCGCAAGGTACTTATTCAGAGGCCAGGCAGCTTGCATCAGCCATCCCTCATTGCTTTCAAACGATTCAGTCACGTCAAGCTATATTTTATCACGGATTCCTTTTCTACTATGACAACAACAGTTCACCGTCCGCTTAGTACACGCACTTACTCGACGACGCAGTTCACATTGACTACCGAAGCTAGTACAAAACCGGATATGGTTCAATTGGTTGCATCACGCCTACTTTGATACCGTGGAGTTTAACAATCCTTCTTTTTGATCGGGGCCTAAGGTGTCACTCTGACAATCGGGAGCGTCTATGCCAGGCTTTGAAGTTTAAGCGGATGGTGGCATCCGCACATTGCCTTCAAAGGGACGGTGAACAGAATGCATGGACAGATGCTGCGGAGTTCGATTCCTCAATCCGATGGGCTCGAGTGTCAGATCGTGCCTCTCGCTCCTGCACTTGCATAGAGCACCACCGGTTACCAGTGAGTACCATACTACTCCATCAGCAACCGGCCTGCTTGAGAGCGTCGCGCCAAAACTTACCCCCTATGACCAGGTTCAACAGAAAAATGTGTGAGCCGACCTAAAGTCGTATATTTTAGACAAAAGACAGCAAACGTTTCGAGCTGATTCCGAGCTACGGGAAGTTGAGTTTACTGTTGGTGGCGAAGCGTGGATTAGTACCCGCAATCTCCCGGATGTGTCCATCTGCTCTAAGCTTGGGCACCGTTACTGCGGACCAATTTTGATAGTCTATCAGGTTCGCAAGGTTGCCGACAGCGGTGCCGTGCCTCCCTGACGCAAGCGCCACAATGTTCTCACGCATCGCCACGCATTAGAGCTCGATTATGCAATATTCATGAGACGTTTCAAGAGCCAGCGGTCGGTCACCTCTACATCCGGGACACCACCAGGCAGGCATCAGCCACCTACGGAGTGGACTACACTGTGACAGATAAGAGTGAGGGTGACTCCCTTTTGTATCTCCTTAGAGAACGCGGCAAGCCAGAGGACCACGCCACCTGGAAGCAGACTCAGCCTTACAAATTGCCGGCTTCCCTCCTCGCCTGGCAGCGTAACAACTCAAGCGACCCCGACAGGTAGCAGCCGGCTCTGCCAGCCTCTTAGAGGTGACGGTTACGGGAGGAGAGCAAGCGGCTCACTGACAGAAGCCGCTTCAGGAACCTACCAAAAATTTTAAGGCGAGCAGGCTGTTAAGGCATAACTAACTTGGACGGCAGCTGGAGAGGCAAGCGTCAGGAACTCACAATGATTCCTGAAAGATACACGAGGGACGACACCCTTGAAGAAAACTTGCAGTTGACCCCGCTGATAGAGCACCCGACGGTCGCCAGGGGGCGAAGGCTGCTTGCAAGACGAATGAAAGTGTAGTGCAGAACAATACAGTAGCAAGGTTTGAGCAAAGAAATAAAGACATAAACGGATACTTCCAAACAGAAAAAGTGTCAAAAAATTAAACGTGACCCCTTGGCTGTAAGTGCGAGACGTGGCCTCTGTGGGGCGTAAACAAGAGACATAAAGTATTACGTCCAGGAGCCGGTCAAGTGGACTCCGAGGTCTATAGCTCGAACAGTGCTTTTCTCTTAAAAGGCATGAAATGCTTTACCGCTAAGTGCTCTCTCCATACCAATAACTTGGCTGCAGTAGTGTTCGCGTGCGCCCAGCAGATGTCGAATAAAATGCATCTCTACCCGACCGCTCATTCAGAATGTGAGCGCCCTTTCTCTGTAGCGTAGTACCCGCCAACGACAGTAGCCTTAAAACTTAAAATCTGCTTTCTTTTGAAGTGCTAATGGCAGGTGAGCTAACAGGAGATATCCTGCTGAACAGTGCAAGCTTTATAGAGTATAACAGTGCCATGGCTAAGTCTCAAGGCCATAGTTGGTGGCATAGCCATTCAGCACTGCAGACTGTTTTTCATCAGCTGCTTGAAAGATGTTACGTAGACATCAGCTTAGCTGCTCTACGCTCTGCATGTCGTGCGTTCACCACACTCAGCGAATGCAGCTGTGGGTTGCACAAAACGTGCAATGTATCTTTGTATATAGAATGCGCCGCAATTTCGCTGCTCTCCTTGTAGAGACACTACGAGCTTGGCGATCACTGGCACTGCAGTAAGGGAAGGGCCTCATTAACGCGTGCATCGAGTAGCTGCCCGTAAACATGGATGTATGTGGAGTAATCCAGTACAATGCCCCTTTCACTGTTTGGAAGCTTGGTGAGTGTATAAAGGTCTGAGCGCCAGATCTAATGAAAACTATAATATGCTCGACACCGAGCCAGATCTTCATGATTTAACAATTGGAATTCATCCAAAAACTGTTTCGGCACTAGCTCTCGGCGATCTGAAGGTGTGGTTGCGTGGTAGGTGGATGTTCGGCAGTAGAGGGTGCTTGTAACAGGTGTCCATATGGGCTTTTGAGCATTCCGCCCTGCTAGACGGTTTGCCGGCTCGTTGAAACAAACAAATATCTCCACGCACGAGTGGCATGTACGGATTCTGTCTCTATCATGCACCGCGTCTCATGTACCCGATAGTTCTTTTACCGTTCTGCTTCCAATTTGCATTCTCGGTGGCTTACCGTTTTCTTAAAAGCCACGCATCTGCCGGAAGATGTACAGGCAGCCAGCGTATCGTGAAAGGAGTACTGTTACGCATTCCAGGGCTGGGTTGGTAGGGTATGCCAATCGTAGGACGGCGTGAATTCAGTAAGAATTACTAACAGTTATTTTTGAGTTATTTGAGAGAAACTGCACTTGCAGCAGCTGCTCTACGGCGTGCAGGGGGTATGTCTATGAGACTCAGCAAAGGCAGCTAAGCACGAAACGAAAACTTGCAACGCGCCATTGTATCGGAAACGCTCAGCGAACTTGCATTTTGTGGCTTAGAGGCAGGCAATATCACGTTGGTGTTTGCTCCACTTGCGGAAGTGACGAGTACCGACCGCACTGCGTAGAGTGGACGCAGTGTTGATTGGGCGTGCGGCCTGTAGTTACGACAATGATCCTATTGTTTTAGCAAACGCACTCATTTAAGCAACTGAGATGTACGATTGGTTGACAGACCAGCGTACGCTGGCTGCAGTCTGATAGATCTATAGAATTTGCGGTGTTATGATCCATTTGCTGGCAGCGATTTGCGAGGCGAGCTCCGTAGAGGTGTAAAACAGCAATGGAGGGAGTGAAGGCAAAGGGAGTTAAAGTTTAAACGCAAGGGCTATGTCAAGTTTTTAAAGAGTAAGCAGAGCTGTCGACTGCTAAAGCGCTTGGTAAGGTGTTACAAAACCATTTAGGCGGCTATGGTGGCGCGCTTTTATGCCCAGAAGTTGCTGCAAGAGACCGAAATGTTTCTTGATGAGCAGGCGGGGCGGTAAATACCTTAAATATTTTGCTCTGTTGACCAGAACCACTGACAATTGATGACAATATTCAGGTGCTCATCAATTACGGGGTAGAAGATGAAATGTGAGACCCTTTTAAGATGGTGCATTCTGCTCCAGGGTGCACCATCACTATGGTAAGGAACTAGGAGACCACGAAGTCTAAGCATTCGGCGTCATTTCAAAATGTTCACTAGGTGACTTTGAAGAATTCTAGGGAGGTGCCTATGGAACTATCACTAACAGGCTGTGCTTCCCTCATACGTCAACATGCAGCTTTGCCCAGCACAAGAACATGCTATGCGTCTTTGTATGGAGACTTCTCAGCAGCACGTTTACGCGCCTAGGCCTCATGGGCTTGCTACACGTATCTTACGTAAGAAAACCATCAAACGCAGACATCGCAGCCTTCCGAAAATATATAACAGGCCTATATCTAGTTGTAAACCTTCGCGAGTTCTCTTTCGGGGGCTGCTTATGGGTAACAGGCCATCACGCAATTAATCGCGTAGATTCCTGCTCTAGAAGAGTAATTTCAGTATTAGCGCTACACAGATCAAGCAACCGACCGGCACCATATATCTGCATGCATTGTGTGATTCAGAAATCAGGTGACACAGAGAGCTGTGCAATCCTGAAAAGCAAAAGTCTTCATTTTGTGTAGCGGAGAGCCCCGACATCTGTAACCTTCTAGCAAGCATTCTCTTGAATAGACAAGTTTTCTTGCTTCTTCTCGAATTTTGTACGAGTGTGCGATAGACTACTGGCTTACACATTCAAATCAAGACATTTTTAATTCATGCCAAGGGGACTAATAACTCTGGTTAAAATAAGGGGTGGATATATGGACAGTCTCTTTTTGTCGATGGCGACACAGTCGGAGTGGCTCAATTGCGGAGCTCTTCTGGTTCAAAGAAAGAGGCCGTCTCTTGTATGGGATGCCCTGGTTTTGTCGTACTGGAAGGTCTCACGATTCGAACTCAGCAGCACATTTCTCTGGCTTATCCTAGTCACCTTGCAGCTAGGTAATGTAGTAGGAAATCGAATATTCCTAACTCCGTTCACCACATATACTATCGTAATGTATGCAAGATCTTGTGTACTACGTATAACTGTAGAACCACGATTTTCTTAATAATTCCCACATTGATATTTGACATAGGTGATAGGTTTTTGAGAGCCCCAAATGCAACGTGTTTCGTGGCTTCTCTAATTGGGAGTTATTGCTTGCACGTATATGTGCCTGATATGATTTATTGCTTTGGCGCAGTTAAGAACTCTTAAAAATGACAAGGATATATTTTCAAAAGTCATGCGTACAGTGTATGGTGCCAAGAGCGAACTGCAATAAATAAAAAAATTAACATCGGTCAGTAAAAATGCACCTGGTGTAATTCGTATCTAAGTGAAACATGCCACCATCCAAGGGAAATAATCTTAATTGCGCGGTTGACGGCAATTTTTGAGGTCGATGTGTTGCTAGTTTGCGAAGATACTGGCACCAAGCGTCGAAAAGAATTCGCGCCTGTTCTTAGTTGCAGCTGGACTTAATGAGGTCCCTCCACAGGAGCACCTGCGTGCAGGGCAATAGCCGATGATAAGACGATGGCATCACTGAATTGCTGAAGAACGAATGCTCAAAACACTTTGGTTGCACTCGTTCACAAAAAGTTCAAAGCAAATGCAGCAGATTGCGCAAGCTTGTGACATCTGGATTTGTCTATTTTTGATGTATATCTTCGCATTATAAGAAAGATATTTCCTTTAGAGTGATTCTTTGGAGTGCAGCGTGGCTTGTTTGCAGTTCATTTTCTCTAAATGATTAAAGGTGAGAACCGAGCTTTAATCAAATATTTTGGCAAATTCATGACGCTTGGATGAGATTAATTGAGCAGCGAAGAGGCTGTGCACGGAGTTTTAAAGTTATGGCGGGTGTATCAGGATACGCTGTGCCAGGGAGTGCTTCTGTCTGTTTTGCTGTACGGTACAGTTCTCGGTATGTGAATTCCTGCTTATCAAAAACTTGATGACTTTGCCTTTGACAGCATACGAAATAAACTATGTGCTAGTGCACAATTTTCATTTTGGAAGCTAGAGGACAAGCACTTTAACTGAAGGCAACCGATGCTTGGTGATTGTTCTCACTGCTGATTTCTGGGATCTCTCTTCATGCGTATCATGCTTTGATAAAGCCGCCTAGTGTGAGCTGTGCCTCTGAATTTGTCTCATGCACCTGATCACATTCCGCAGCGGTGCACAGGCCCTGTCACACACGCGATGCTCCGATGCACACATAAGTCAATTCCCTGCATTTTCAGAGTGCGTTAAAGCTGTACTTAACCTTCCTGACCTACACGTTTTGCAGGCGTTGCTACAACAACGCTTTTGAAAGGCTCGGAATGCTGCCAATTCCGGGTTGTAGGCACCGCATGATGTGAGCCACGCCTTGCCTCTAACATATTTAGTGTGTCGTCCCTACTAGACCTTGCCATTGTGCCATCTAAGCATTAACGCCTGAGTACCTACATAAACGACATGATACATTCACCTGCTCAAGCCACTGGGAGTTCGAGTAAAAACTAAGTAATTCCCGGACTACAGTACTACTACATTGCTCATTACTGGCATCGATTTGTGTGTGTGTGTGGCAGTGCATAGTGTTTCAAATCTATCCCTTCCCTGAAATCTTTGGTGGTGATTCCAAGGGAGTAGGTTTTGGGGCAAGGTGTTTCGGCCACTGGGATTGACCTATGGAGATTTAATAGCTGGAAATGTCTTATTTAGAAGTATGCTTTTGTTGTGTCATCCTTGGGCAAGGGCCACGCCAGTCCTCCTTGTATCGTTCCAACTTTATCGGATTGCATTCCCAAAGGAGGCCACCCTATGACCCCACGCTTGTTGTCGCTTGGCAAAGAAACACTCCCCCCCATCAGTAGTTGGTTGAAAATAAGTGAATTGCATGAAGTTTGGGAACATCAAGGACCAAGCCAGCATCCATTAAATTTAACTAGTAAAATGTGAGCACTAAAAGCATTACAATCCCAAGCGGCAGCCTAGGTTCGACTACAGACACTAAT